TGGTGTCCTGTACACACTGTCAGGTGCCAATGAGTCCGTTTCCGAACCATCGCTACTCTGAGCCGACAGAATGAGACACTGCCCAGTGCGGCACCATCCTCACAATCGTTACACTGCTGCAGCCCATTGCTGCAGCCGCGGTGTCAGTGCATCTCCTGAGGGCCGTCCTCTTTCCACTGGCCCTCCAATTCCCCAAGCACGATGTCCTTCTCCAGGGACTGGTCTCTCCTGGCAACACGTCCTGAGCCTGTGAGGCACAGTTGCACCAGGCTTGCCTCTACAGACCACTCCGGCTGTACTTCTTCCAAGAAATACATACAGCTCCATCACTTTAAGTAGTGAACTGAAAATTCATGAAGAATTTCACTACGACTCTAATGACCATTCATCTATGTCTATTTAACCAACATGTGTTTGTGTTTCTACAAATGTAAACATTTAAATCAATACCAGATCATTCTTTCTTCCATGCAATCAGGCTTTCCAGTGGTGGGAAGGAAACAAGTAGCTTTGTTTATAGTTTTGAGTTTGGGTGGTGGTAGAAGAAAGACTGTTGTAGCTACTGTTGTTTCTGACCTGACTTTTAACTTGACCATGTATCTTTATTCAGTTCCAGATGTTCTTCCTAGACTACCTTATAAAGTACCACACAGGTATCCAGAGCAGGTAGTGATTTGTGATATCTGAGAAGGGAAGTGCAGTACAGATGGAACAGATTTTCTTTGTTCTCCCCAAGTGGTCAGTAGAGAAAATATTTTGCCTGATGCTCCTGAAGGATTTTAGACAAAAGCTAGCATCTTCTAAGACTAATGTTTTAATACTGATATACTTTTTAATTTTTAATTTATCTCAATCAGTTTGAATGCATACAAACCATTCAAACTTGTTCACCCATCCCCCTGTGCCCATTCTGTCTAGAGGTCAATTTATTTTCTACACCACTAGTTCAAGGGCTCTGAGAATGACACTATTACTCGCTGGTGTATGTTTTTGTAAAGTGACTTTAATGTGTTCACAGGTAGTTTATCAAACACAGAGCTATTTTCTCCACCTCAGTTGATTTGGGGTTTTGTTTCAGTGGTTGTAGACTAGACTACAGGAGGGATAAATGGGCTATCAGAAGCTAGGTCACTGAGGAAGTCCTAAAATAAGAAAAATATGAATACTCTTAAGTCATCGTCTTTGAGTAAGCTACAAAATACACATCATGCCTCGCAGAGCAGGTAATAAGTACATTTACATAAAATGATAAATCTTACTATTAAAATGGACAACTGATGAAGCGCCCTGGCCAATCACAGAAATTAGTTTCTCATAGATTTTTTCATTTGCCAGCTAGAACAGCGATATGATACAAAGTTTCTTTCTCACTGGGCTTGAAAATACAAATTCCCAATTCTGTATATATGCTGACTTTTACATACTCCCACTCCCTCACCAGACACATACACAAGCAAGTTCATGTGTGTCAAAAAATAATGGATTACTCTTTCTAGAAATGCAAGCTCAATGGTTCAGACACCCTGCTGGAGCCACCAACTCAGTTTTCAATTTCTTGTAGGGAGTTGTGTGTGTGTGTGTGTGTGTGTGTGTGTGTGTGTGTGTGTGTGTGTGTGTGTTGGGGGGCGACTAGGAAAAGAAACTTAATTATAAAAGTCGCTTGTGGCATACAGCCAACTTGTGCCTTTTTCCCCCTAAAAGTCATTATAGCGCCTCTTCTTAAAGTATCACTATAGAATAGAAGGCTTTTGCTGTGCCTTATTACCTAGTTCAGCAGCAAATACATTTATCGAATTATCATTTCAATATACCTTTCACATAGGCTAAAGGCAGTAACATACATATTATAGCATACATATTGACAAAAAGCACTCCTCTCTGTGAAGCTGCGTTCAAAACTCCTATTGCTCATTCCTCAGCCAAAAATGAATATAGGTATTTAAAAATTGACACATGATTTCTTTTTCTATTTACGCTATGTTTAAAGTAGACCCATTTATACTTTAAACATACGGGTACTTACTGAGAAATATTTTATTATTCTGCTTATTTTTGACAAAATGTATATGCAAGAACTTTGAGGTAGTTTGTTGTGCCAACATGGGCGATAAACACATGTGGGATTAATTGAAGGGCGGAGGGAAAAATGGCTAAGTGAGCCTCGCCTTTGTAGTTCTCGGGACTCTTGCTTTGTGATGGTCGGACCAGGGTGCAGCTGCCTTAGCCAGTTCCCTGCTTCAGCTTGCAAGGCTCACTTCCTGCAAGACATCCCTGAGGAGAAGCCGCATGGACCTACCCCGATGCAGCCCTGGGTGCTGGAGCAGCCGTGTGGAGACCCCTGCCACTGACCCCATTCACTGACTTGGCTTTCCTCCTGCAGCTGGCATCATTGCATCTGTTTTGTGAGATGAAGGAGGACTTTGTGGACTGATGTTGGACATATGGGTTAATGGCTTAATGTTGGACTGTGGGTTTGGGCAGCACTGGGTTGGGATATTTTCTTGATGCGCACGTAACCTTTATATAAAACTCTCTTATACATGAGTTTCTGTGGATTTGTTTCTCTAAAGTACCCAGACTAACACAGACATTAAAACACATATTTCAATGTATATGTTCATTGAGCCCCATTTTCTTCAATAAAATATAGAGTTAGTTGTGGCACTGTAAGTCTGGTCAATAAACACATTCTCATTGTTACGATTGCTAAACTTTTTTATCTTAATACTAAGGTCTCTAGTAAGCCCTTTGAAGAATCAACAAAAGAGTGTTCAGAGTACTAAAAGCATTCCCATATCAGAATGTCAAACATGTTAAAGTCAGGCCACTAAATAGCATAATTTGTTGTCTAACGAAAATGAGACCATTATAAAAAGAACATTATTTTAAGCTCTGTAGAACAAAATGTCCACAGCTTCATGTGCAGTGCCTCATTGTAGCCTGCTTGCAAATGATTATCCTGAGAGATCCTAGTAGTACTGTGTACAAATCAATTCTACCAGAAGAAACACACTTCAACAGGCTATGTTCATCCAATTCCCTTTCATTATAAAAACACTCAGCAGGCTGGGAACAGAAGAGAAAATCTTCTATACGATAATGGGAATTCATGAAAAATGTACATCATTCGCAATGGATAAGACTAAGGACAAAAAGAATACCTATTTTTATCACAGCTCTTCCACATTGTACTGGAAATTCTAATCCGAGCAATTAGACGAGGAAAAGATTTAAAGGGTAGCCAAGGAAAATAATTCCATTTACAATAGCAATTTAAAAAATACAATTATCTAGGAATAAATTTAACCAGGAACGTGAAAGAGCAGTATGCTAAAAGCTGAAAGTCATCACTGAAGAATTAGAGGCACCTAGCTAAGTGGAAGAGCACCAACCTTAAGATTAACTAAAACAATCTCTGGAGCTATATTTTCTACAAGGGCAGTAAGTCCATTCACTGGGGGAAGAAGGGCGCTGGAACTGGATTTCTAAACACAGAAAATAACAGAGAGCCTGAATGCTAAGAACGGAAACCATAAACTCGTACAAGAAAACTAAGGGGACACGGGACCAGCTATGCTTCTTAATAATGAATTCTAAGGCATCACACCCTAAGCACAACTAACGTAAGACAAAAGCAGACAAATTGGACACCGTCAAAATCAGAAACATTTGTGCATTAAAGGATTTTAGCAACAAGGAGAAAAGAAAAACTACAGACTAGACGAAAATTCAAAGGAAATATCGAATAGGTGTTTTATACCCAGAATCACGATAATATTTTACATGCGTTAGGATGACTGTGGTAGAGCTGGAAAATGGAACACAAATGATGACGGTGGTGATGTGGGAATAGTGAAACCCTCTTTCATTGACGGAAGGTTGTGAAATGATGCAGCCTCAGTGTGTAAAACAGTTTGATGATTCCCCAGAATATAAACATAAAATCAGCATCAATACAAAGACTGGACCACCGACATTCACCACAACGCTATTCACAAGAACCAAAAGGCCGAACCACTGTGTTCAGGAACAGATAAATAAACGTGGAAGTAAATGGTGCTCTGTACATACAATGGAATTCCAAAATACCCAAACACATTCCCACGGCGGATCCCCAGCTCACGGCGACCTAGAGAACAAATTACCACTGCCCCACGGAGCGTCTCACGCAGTAATCTTTGCCCTCGAGTGCTAGGCTCTGGAGGATATCAGTCTTTCCGTTAGCAGCTCAGCGCTTAACCACTGTGCCACCAGGGCTACTGACAATCGAATTTTAAGTCAAAAAATGAATGAGCTTCTGATATGTTAAATAAGAAACATGAGACAGCTCTTGGAAGTTTTCCTTGAAAGCTCTTGAAGCAGAGGCTGCAAAAAGTTGACGGGAAAATCCGTTCTCTTTACATTCCATTTTTCCATAAACTCTGCAGCCCGCTTGCAGAATGGACTCCCTGTCAGGGTCCATGAGTTGACTGCATCTCGTGGGGACCCAGCACAACAGAGCAAAACTACTCTGGTGGGCTTCTGAGACGACAAATCCCTGACTGGTGGTTCAAACGGCAGACCTTGCGGTTAGCAGCCCAACACACCAGGCCACCAGGGTTCCTCCTCCCACGAGGAAACTGAAAGCCGGAGAAGGGGCAACAGTGCTGCAGGCGCAGAATTCTCTCCATCCCCACAGAAGACCAGGATTCCATGGCTGAGCAGTGTGTCCCTCTGGCAAACACCCTACTTGTCTGCCACAGAGTCCTCTGTGACGGTGACCAAAGGAGGTTACAAACCGGGCGGCTCACCATAAAGTTAGCAGTTTGAAGCGGCTAGCCTCCCCAAGGGAGAAAGATGAGGCTTTTTAATCCCCAAAAGATATACGGCCTAAGAAACTCACAGGGGCAGTTCTACTCTGCCCTCCGAGGGCACTGAGTTGGCATAAGCGAGATGGCAGCAGATGAGGGGAAGCAGCATGAAGGACCTAAACAGAACGAAAATAAATGAAGTGCTCTTACCTGTCCTGAGACTGCTCCTCATACATCCTCTCCTTGCCTTCTTTGAAGAGTCGTATTGCGCGTTTTGACTTTTTCATGAGACTATCGATGTAGATTTTAAAATATTCATTCTCACTGAGTTGGGCAAGCTTCTGGTTATCATCGTATTTACTGAGGATCAGCCGCAAATGCTGATATGTATCAGGTAAAATATCGAGAATATACGGTGGACTGTTTTTCAACTGAAGTTTGGGATTTTGGCATAGTCTCACCTAAAAACAAAGACAGAAATAAAAGAGTTTCATAGAGAGCTGCAATCCTTTATTTCAAAGAAAAGAGACAAATATAATTAATTTTCTGTAGTAAAAAAATACTATCTCAAACTAATTACTATTATCTATATAGAACTATTAAATATTCTCATCTGTCTTAATGCAATTAATCACTATCTTCCTCTCCCATTCATTCTTTTATTATTCTTACTTTAAAACCCTAATACTCTCAGTCCTATCGGCTAAAACATCTGATTGTTCACAGTTTAATTGAAATCCTGTACATTACAGTCCTGTTTAAAATAAAAACGAAGAAATGAGCCTCTTTTTCTGATAACCAATGTTTTATTACATTGAACTACCAACTAAAGTTCGCTCATAGATTCTAAATAATGTTTCGGCATATTGTTCCTGAAGAGAATAAAACAAAGAAGTGCAATTTTAACAACTGAGTCATTAAGTAGTGAATAGATGTCAAGCCAGAACTAGTTCTTTCCACTTGCCTCACACTTTCTACCTTGCCCATCAACAAGTTATATAACGGTTTGGGAATCTGTCAGGTGGCACCTACCCCCGGGGCATTCAGGACTGCCGGCAGAGCTGAAGATGTCCTCTGCCAACCAGTAAAGGTCATTGTCCTTTGACATTCACTCATGACTCGTGTGTATCCATGAGATTTAACTCCAACCAAAGCCAGCTCATTCTTATTCCTCTATTTACAGGGGGAAATTTTCCTGAACTTTAAAAACCAAAACTCAATAAGCCACTCAGAATTGCACATGACCAGGCACAAGCTTAACTGCATAAGACTTAACAAAAAACAAAATGTACTCAAAAGGGGTTTACAACAATTGTTGATGGTGCAATGGATACGCCCTTAGCTGCAGTGTGAACTCACCAGCTGCTTTATGGGAGAAGAGATGGCCATCTATTTCTGTGAAGATTTACAACCTACAGGTCCTTTAAGGTAGTTCTACTCCAGCCTGCATAGTCACTCTGAATTGGAATCGATCTGAAGGCAATAGGTAGGTACAGGGGAGCTAATGGAGATTAAGAAACTTTGGGGCCCTTCACAAACCTGGCCTTTTTGTTTTTCTTTTTAATCATTTTATTGGGGGCTCGTACAACTCTTATCACAATGCATACATACATACATCTTGTCAAGCACATTTGTGCATTTGTTGCCCTCATCATTCCCAAAACAGTTGCTTTCTACTTGAGCCCTTGGTAGCAGCTCATTTTCCCCTCCCTCTCCCATCCTCCCTCCCTCATGAATCCTTGATAATTTATAAATTA